TTCGAGTGCAGCGGAACCTTCTGCCATAAACACCTCAGGTTACAGAGCTTGCTTTCCCTCTTCCCTCTGTCCACGGCTCTAATTTGAATACCTTCTTGCCTCCTCACAATTCAATGCCGGCGAACATCCTTTCCGCAAATATGGCTGTCCAAGCATCGACCCAGGGACGGGCTTGGCTTGGCTCAGCAAAGGGGCGGCGTTTTGCCACAAGGACTACAAATCGACTCGCTGCCCGTCCGCATGGCAAACCCCCACTGCATCAAACGTTTGCATGTCAAACGGAACGATTTCAAAGGGGTGCATCCTGTGTTAAGTTCTGGACCTTCGATACTGCAGGTCCGCGCTTTTGCTTATTGGCGATTCTCGGCATCCGGTGCCACCGCGTGAACTTCATCTTGCTGCACAATGTGTGTCCAGTGTATCACGTCCGGACCCACCTCGCTTCCACTATGCCACCGGCCGTTCCCAACCTCATGACCGTCCAGATCGAAGAATCATGTAGAAACTAGTAGAAACCAGTTGCAGTGTAAACTGGAATCAGCTCGTTTGATTCACTACATTTAGCTCGTGACATGAAATGCCTGTCTGCCTGTCTTGGTCGGCGCAAGTTCTCTCGAACTCTCTCTCGTTGTTACATTGGCATCTCAGGGTGTGGCACGGCGATCTGGCTTCTCATGACCGCCATTGCCGGCATCGGCAGGCGCATGAAAGCGATTCAAGAGATCCTGGCTTGTGCCAGACAGCTTGAGACCTCTCACACAGCAGAGTCGGAGTGCCGCTCCTCCTTCTCGGCGAACAGGCGGCAGCCTGGCCCATCCCGCTGTCGCTCGCAAACTTTCTGTGGCCAGGATGCTGAGAGGTTTGCAGAGTTCAGAGACGCTCGAAGCAGTAGGCCTGGGCTAGGCAGAAAGCAAAGCCGCAACCAATCGGGGCCTGTGAACACTGAGCCCGGATCGCTCCAATTCGCCGTAGTCGGATGTGAACTTCATGTGGTATGTGGCCACGCACGAAAACGGCTCCCTGACATGAGCAGCCTTGCGAATTACAATTTGTAGCACAGGCCGTCGTTGCCCAAGCAATCTTGCCGGTGATTCTTCATCTGGCAAGTTGGCACAGACTGGAGCAACATATGCCTCAAACAGGCGCGGCAGACTGTCAGCAGAACCGTGCATGACTGTCGGACTTGCCACAGTATGACTTCTCAAAACCGCGTCTCGCTTCTTGCGGTCAACCCCTGCTGCACTCCACGACCCGGGATCGCGAGCTCAGCTTGGGACCATGGTGACATCAACCAGAACCGGCGGTTGCACTTCAAGATCCTGTGCTAGGACTGCTTGCGCGTGGTGGAAAGGCCAAAGGTTCAGCACCGCCTTCGCGACATCATGGAGGGCTTCCCATGCTGCGACAAATCCTGCCGTCCGCGGGTGGAGCACCTGCGAGAGGAGAAAGGCAGAGAAAACGAGGCTGGCCGGAGGCTGGCCTGCGTGTAGGTCTGCAGGCCCTCTTTTCGAGCGAAGCTTTGGCTCGTCTCCCTGCCACTTTAAAGCCACCCGATGACCTGCTACCGGATGACCCCCTTGCGCTGCAAAAAAATGCCAGTTTGGCAGATTCGACTTGCTCAGGTCGGTGCCCTGGCACAGCGAAACACACTCGGAGGAAGGTGCAAGAACTTGGTGGCATGCAACCCATGTCCTCAGGGAACAGTAGCAATGCCAAGTTCCCACGGCCGCCTGCCACATCATCTCAGATTCGGATTGACCGGCGCACGTGTCGTCTCGAAAACCCACGCAAGCTCTGGAGTCTGGAGCTCACCAGGGCAGACGCCATTTTGTGGTCATCAGCCGTCCGTTCTTCGCAGTTCAGCCCCACCCCATGATGTCAACGACAGCTCTTCGGACCACCCACCAACGATCGAGCAAAGTTCCCAAGCTTCAAAGAGCGGAATCTCAACACCGGCAGAAATGCGGAGCATAAAATGAAATGCCTGTCATCCCTGCACTCTCGGCAGCGCACCACTGTGACCACAAACATCTCGCAGTACTCGAAGGTCAGCTTCCCTATCACGTCTACACCTGGCTGACACGGCCGACAACAGCATGAGATGTACAGCACGACGAAACGACCAAGCATGTCAGCAGTTCATGAACGGGTATGCAAAACACTGCCTGAGTGCGACATCGTCCAAGGTTCGAGCTCTCTTTCCGTTGCTCAATGGCGGAGGTTTCATCAGATTTCTAACAAATCGCAGAACTTTGTTCAGTGCATCTATAATGTCACGTCGGAAACCGATGTTGCAGGCACTTTCGATGCATGATTGGCAGATTGGGGCAGCTCATCTCAATCGCGGATGGGACACTCGCCTAGTCCACTGCTCAACTGACACAGGACGTCTCTGAAGAGATAAGACACCAGAGCGGGAACTTGACATGATCTAGAAGGGTTGAAAAGCCTCTCCGTAAACATATCTGGTGTGCAAGAAGACAGGGAAGTGCAGCGAATGCACAGTCCTGAAAGGGCTAGACGAACACCCGAGACTCCGGGCGGTGGAGTTCAGACGACACGACCATTGCTCAATGAAGCTGCGCCCGAAAAGGAAGCGAAGCTCGAGAGTCCCTCGATGAAACGTGAACGCAACGAAAATCGCCGAACAAAAGATGCCTGTCGACCGACTTTCATAGCATGCGTTGGTCTTAGATACTCTTGCGAGTGGACATTCGTTCCTGTGAAACTCACGAATGCAACGAATGCGATCCCACAACCAGCGCAAAAAGGACATGGTTGTCTCAGGTGACATGTTCTCCTCACTGAGCTTCCGGCACGGCCCATCCGAAACCTGTCACAGTATCAAAGCAGGGTGTGCACCTTCGCTCTCAGCATCAGCCTGCCTGGTGCATATCGTAGATTGTCCTCCACAGCTATGCGACTGTTGCCAATCATACGGAGCCAAACTGGACAGTGCAAATGGAAACGATTCCACCTTGAGAACGATCTTCAGTCCGGACAAACGTCCCAGTGCTGCGGCCAAAGTCCACAGGAACATCCAGTCCAGCCTAGCAGGTGAGAACACGCACAATTCGTTTGCCCCTACCGCCGTGTGATTGAATGAAGCAGCTTGTCACTGACCGTGTAGGATGGTTGGAGATCAGGAGCAGGTCACCCTGACAGGCACTGTGAAGCTCATGTACAAGGCCATCGGCGGCAAGGTGAACCTGCATGCCCCAGTTTTCCAGCTTGTCGTCACCTCAGCCAGTCAATCAATTCACTGGAGATATCACTCCCAGCACCACGAGATGATTTTCCCACATGCTTGGAGCAGGACACGCATGGATGAAGATATGGGTTCGTAGAATGCACCGAAGGCAGAAGACTGCCAGGCCGAACCACGCGGCCTGCACTCGTTCTGTCAATGTACATGGCTTGCAGTCAGAAATATACATACGTATGTCTATGTGTGGATGTGTGTATATATTATCCACATATGCAGATACATATGTATGGTTAGCTAGATATCTTCGTCTTGGTCATATTCACTACGGTTATTTCTGCTATAGTTGTTCGTGATATCTATTCTATTTCTAACGAAAAATATATCTTGGTGTAGTAGGTTCTGTATTATGCCTATATCTGGCATATGTACCAGTAGTACATCTGTTCATGCTCATCTTAATGTTTGTGCTTGTATGGAACTACCAACCACAGGCCTGGCAGCAAGCTGCAACATTGCAGAAAAGGCCACGAGCCAGGGAACTTGGAATCAACAACAAAGGCAACGCCTCGGTGAAGCTTCAAGACAAAACCCAGTTTGCTGCTTTTTGGGTAATGAGAAGGTGGCAGGAAGTAATATCGTGCAGCATGTCAGGATTGACCTCGCGCTGAGCCCGGTATTCTCTGGTGATGCTGTTGCTCGGACCGAGGAACAGACGTCTGAACCCACAGCAGAAGTACCTCCGGTAGTGCAGCTGCTCATGCGGATGTCTTAAACGTTGAACATCTGAGAGCAACGAGCCGGGATACACACCAAGCTGCCAGACGATGATGCAAGGGTGCCAGAGCCGTCATGTCATCACGGCTGGCCACGAAAGATGCCAATATCTTCCAGAAAGTCTGCAGACTAGCAGCAGCTAGCAAGCAAAAACGACAGCGGCAGCTCCTGTCGTGCGTTCTTTTGGCCATGTTAGGCCAGCTCAAGCTTCTGCGGAAACTCGGCATCTCAGAGACGGCAGGTCCTTGCAGACAATTCTTTTCGAGCGGTTGGATCTGCCTTTGGTGCTGGGGTACAAATCACATTGGAGCAGAGGCAATCGACTAAATGACGAAGTATCAGGCAGATGTGAGATGTACCCAGGAAGTGATGCAACTCGGAGAGGCAGACTCTCAAGGTAGTTCTATCAGAACTTCTAAAATCTAGAAACGATGCCCTCCTCAAGCGGTGCGAATTGCGGCTGCCTCGTGCCTCGATTGTGTGAAGTGCATTGAGCCAAGCGTTGCATCGCTTGGGAGGAGTGGAACATGGCCAGGCTTTAAATATGAACCTTCAAAGGACAGCCGCGCGGAGACGCGGCGTAAGCCTGTAGCAAATTCATTCGACGAGATGAAAACTTGAAATCCGATACTCGCGCTAGCTTGCATGGCACTCTCGGGCTCTTGATGATTCGAGGTGCCGCTTGAAATTGACGACATTGTGCACATCAAAGGTATGTGCTGCCAATTAGGGCAACTGTACAAACTGAGCTGATAGCTGGCTTGAAACCCTGTGCTTCGAATTGCAGATGTTCAACTCGGTCTCGGAGCTGTCGACTGACGACCAAGCCAACCTGGGCTAAGGGAGCAACATGCTCAAGATCGACTCGTCGGGACGCTTTCGCATCGAATCATTCGGCGGAAACTAGGTCCTGCTGCGAATGAGGCTAACAAGAAGGAAGGACACCCTGCAAAATATTGAGCTTCGAGGAACTTCCACACCTCATCTGCCCGTCTGCGTTCTGCTGCTGCACAGCAGCTTACCTCTCCACGTGCAGTGGTTCATGCAATTGAACAGACTCCAGCCGAACCCCAAACTTGAATGCTGCAAAGCTGCTGCAGGCTGCAAGTTCCTTCAAACAACTTGTCCTTGACCAAGCTCCAATCAACGAATTAGCCGCAGGACGCAAGCCGCAAGACTCTCGCGCTGGTTTACGCAGGCCTTGTCCGTGGTCGCAACCCCGCCGCTGGATGAACCGACTTGAACCCAAGGTGCTCCATCCTGGAGGGCAACTGCGCCTTGGCCCTCGGCCCAACAGATCAACAGCCGGAGCCCGGTTCCTCGTCACTCCAGGAAGACTGCGTCTCTTCAGTAGGCTTCGCTGCAAATCCTGAGCGGCTCTGGACTCTGGGCAGCACAAAGATGAGATCATGTCCACAAGGGAATTCTAAGGACCAAGCTTTCATTGCAAAGCACTTTCACCTCAAGAGCAATGCTTTTCACCGCATTCAGAATCCCGTGAGCAACCGAGCCTCCGTGAGCATGTCAGCCAAAGTTCCTTCAGAAGGAACTTCCATGTGGCCAAGCCGACCTGCGAAAACCAAGCTCAGATAACCGCAGCAAAGCTCCACACACAGCATCGCCCGCCCCGCCTGTGGTAACACTCTTGATCCAGAGCGTTCCATCCTCGTCATATGCAAAGTCGCCACCCTGAGGAACTATATCAGGTTGAGAGGCCAAGGCGGATTGACCATACCTTGCAGCAAAGAGCAGGTTTGCTTCATTCAACTTCTGCTCCAGCCTCTCCACGCGGCAGTCTCGCGGAACTCCGGTTCCTTCCGTCACGGACCAAGGCGTTCCATCCGCATCATACTCGGTGTCAACATCGCGGCCGTAGCTTTCGGCATACAGGCCCTTGACATTCTCGAGCATCCGCTCCAAACGCTCCACACGCATGTCTCTGGGAAAGCCGGTGCCACGAACCTCAAGCCACGGCGTGCCCTGCACATCGTACTGGACAGACTCTTCGGTGTCGACTTCGACACCATACTTGACCTTGTACAACTGCTTGACTTCCGCTAGCTTCTGCTCAAGCCTCTCAACGCGGCAGTCTCGCGGAACTCCTGTTCCTTCCGTCACGGACCAAGGCGTTCCATCCGCATCATACTCGGTGTCAATATCGCGGCCATAGCTTTCGGCATACAAGCCCTTGACATTCTCGAGCATCCGCTCCAAACGCTCCACACGCATGTCTCTGGGACAGCCAGTGCCACGAACCTCAAGCCACGGCGTGCCCTTCGCATCGTACTGGACAGACTCTTCGGTATCGACTTCGACACCATACTTGACCTCGTACAACTGCTTGACTTCCGCTAGCTTCTGCTCAAGCCTCTCCACGCGGCAGTCTCGCGGAACTCCTGTTCCTTCCGTCACGGACCAAGGCGTTCCATCCGCATCATACTCGGTGTCAACATCGCGGCCATAGCTTTCGGCATACAAGCCCTTGACATTCTCGAGCATCCGCTCCAAACGCTCCACACGCATGTCTCTGGGACAGCCGGTGCCACGAACCTCAAGCCACGGCGTGCCCTGCGCATCGTACTGGACGGACTCTTCGTCATCGAGATCTACACCATACTTGACCTCGTACAACTGCTTGACTTCTGCTAGCTTTTGAGACAGCCTGGTCAGCCGGCAGTCAGTGGGCACATGGGTTCCACGGATAACTCTCCATAGTGGCCCCTCACCATCTCTGTCTTGTTCCTGGTGACAAACTCGGATCTATGCTGCAGGACGTGAGGGTGTGAATCACATCTGGACTCCTGCAGCTCCTCCGTTTCATGCTCGACCGGAAAACCATATCTTTGCTCATACAGGTCCTTCACTTCAAGCAGCTCTTGCATCCGATATCCTTTGTTTGACATGCTGGCAGCTATCGCAGAACTGGCTCCTTCACCTCCGCCAACAGCGATTCAAGCGAGTCCTTCTTTACTGATTTACTACCAGCTACCTCAAGATGTCTCCAAATCATCCAGGCAGTGGATATTTAGGATGCGGTGAGTCTGGCAGTCTGGCTTGCTGGCACCAAACTCGAGCTGCGCTTGTCACTGCCAGCCTGCGAACAGGGCCCTGCTCTCTCGCCACCTGCTGCAGCAGCCAAGCTTCTGGTGTGCATTCAAAAACTCTTCCTTCGGGACAACGAAAACTCAATCTGCCACTAAGCTGCCACTACATGTAACATGCAATTACAAAGCCAAACAAAAAGGCACCGTCACAATTAGGAGCATCAACAACATCAACGCAGCAAATTAGAAGCGGCAGTATCGAAAGCTGCAGCAGCAGCGGCCACATGCCACATCCGCCACAGGAGCAGCCGCAGCAGCAGCAGCAGCAGCAGTGACGGCACACTCATGCCAGTACAGTACAGAACACAATCTCGCCTGCAGGCTGGTTCCACGAAGAAACTTTGTAGTCCTGGCAACATCGAAGATAAAGGTGAACATTAGCAGTTGTCAACTTGTCTAGACAACAGCACCCTCTTCCGGCGCCAGCAGCCGCTGTGCAAAGGTTCTCTTGCCAGCTTCGGCTATGAAGATAATGGTTGATATTCGCACAACACGCATCAATTCTTCATCCTTAGCGTGCACACTGCAAGTAGTTTCGACTTGCCTGGAACTGGTCCGGCAAGTCTTCTCCTGCAGTTCAAGGGACATCGGACCACAGGAACAATGCTGGAAGCTCTTGTGTTGACGTCCTTCTTCATCTTCCGGTATCGACATCTGCCTGATGGGCCGGCCACACAAGCATCGCGAAACAAGATCAGGAAGCCGCAGGTTGGAACAACTTAACCCAATCACAGCAAGTACCCTACGCACATCACGAAAGTCATGGTGGCATATGGCATATGGCACGAACAAGAAAGAACAGCAAGAAGAGACTCCTTCAAGAGGCAAAGCCATCAATCACTTCTGCCTTGTGAGAAGAGGAAAGTGCTCGTCATCGAACTCAGATGAGCAAAAGATGGATGTGTGACTGTGAAGATTTTGCGGTACGGACAGGATCGCACGAACCTTCTAGCTTTCCAAGTCAAATCACCACCGAGCCGCTCCATCAAGACACAGATGTGGAAGACGGAACTGCATATTCGGGGTCGGCCTTAGCCGCTGGCCACAGGTGCCTCTGACGAGCTGATCAAGCAATCATCCTGCCAAAAAAACATGTGTGCCAAAGCTGTATGTCCCTGAGCATGGCAAATCACCATTCGCAACGCAAATTTGACCGCTTCTTCTGTATTCATCAACACTAAGTTGCTGACGGAGCAGTACTTGCCTGGCAAGATCCCGGCTTCGCAACAGCACGGACAGGCAACCTCCTGTTCGACGTTTTGTTTCACTGAGCCCCTTGCTTGGGAGAGAGGTGTTGAAGAGGCATTACAGCACGCCTGTTGGCGCAATTACATCAAGAGACACGCACATCCAATGGAGACGGAAACCTCGACATGTAGCTGTATGCGCCTCGCCGTGCTGCTTCGGGTGGTGATGGGGGCTCGCGGGCTGAGTGCCGGCGAGCCCCTCATCTGGTATCTGGAACTGCAACCTGCACATGATTGAACTCACAAAAATGGCAGCGCAACTCCCCGGACTCTACATCCGCATGCCAAGCGCCGCGCGAAGACATGTCGAAAACGGCTCAAAGAAACGCAAGTACACAAGTCGAAGTTGATCTCCGGAACAGGTTCTCTTTGGTAAACAGCTGCGACATACGACTGCAGCTTGAAGCACACCAAACATGCCTTAGCGCAGTTAAACATACTTCGAGCATATTTGTCGCATTTTGACTTTCGGCTTCCTGGTCTTTGCAGGAGGCACGACTGCACCAATTCGCATGCTTAGGGACGCCGCGCCAATTAACTTCCAAGCCCCCGACGAAACGACCCAGTGCACCACCCCACAAGCAACTGCACTTGACCACCTTGAAGCACAAAACCCGGGTGGAGTTGCACCCCTACGATGCAGAACTCGCCAGTTGACTTCTTGTTTTGTGTTGAGGTTTTTACAGTGGCACACAAATCCAAGTTTCGCAACCGCAGCGCCGGAAAAGAGGGCAACGTGCTGCCATTGTGACAGGTCGGACATGCCAGCTGTGGCACCAGGCTGTGCCGACACTCGACCCGGAGCTCGGATATGCAATATCGACAAATGATGATGCAACTCCTCCCTATGCATGTGCGTTATCGTTTTACAAGACCTGAGGAGACAAGTTGTGACTTCATGGGCGGCTGCGGGGTGTTTCCAGAGGCTGTCACAACCTCCGCCAGATCAATTTTGATGTTGATGCGGAAATTCAGATTGGCCGTGGCCTGGGGTCGGAGCAAGAAGCACTCGCTTGCACTGCTTTTCGACATGGATTTTCTCACTGCAAAGAGCGCATAAAAAATGCAAATCACGTTCGACGATCACTCCGAAATCACTATCAAACCCTACCGCACACAAACCTAGCAGGACACTGGAAACACGGTGTTTGGATGCACAATGCACATGCCGCACACACACAGCAGTGGTGCCGGTGATCCACGCCTCCGTTGAAGAAGTGACTCGGGCACACAGACTCAACTGCTAGAGGCCATCCCATCCATCCAATAGCGGTGGCAGCCCAAACAGGGCGGGCGGGCGGGTGAACAAAAGATCCAAGACAAGACATTGCAGCAGCCAGACAAAGCTGCAAACTCATGCAAGGCACGGTTCATGTGCTGGTTAGGGTTTGTGGCACGCGCTGGCCTCAGACCCAGCGCTCCAACACGCATCACCCGCCTCCCCAAAGCCATCACTATGAAGTCGGCACAGAGACTTGTGCACGTTGGCAGCCCTTCTAACTTTCTTCGGACTCCCTAAACTTTCTTCGGACTCCCTTAGAACCAGTTCTGCACACTGCTTAGCCCAATGTGCCCAAGTCTAATGCTACCAATAACCTTAGCGAACACAATTCCGTGCTCTTAGGCTTGCACGGCTTAGACTTGCTCCAGAGCTCGCAAAAGATGTCTAAATAATTTTGACTTCTCTGGTCATCTTGATTGAGCAACACAGTATCTGTTCAAGCATGTATTTGAAGTACAAAAACAATACTTAATCAAGAACTTTTGAACATCGGAACTAAGAGTTCCGAACCTAGGGAAACTCCGAACTTGGAGTTCGGGGCCTCGAACCCAGCGTTCGAACATCAAAGTTCACTCGAACCCCCTGTTCACTTTATTTTGAACTCCAAGTTGAACTCAACTCCGAACTTCTTGTACGAGTTTTCTGAAGTTGAACTTCAAAGAATGAAGAAAGTTCAAACCCATAGAAGCTGTTCTGAAGTCTGTTTTTTTGGAAACCTTAAGAATCCAGGCGAACCTTGCACGGCATTCGAGCAAACCAACAATGGGGACAAATCAGAAACTTTAAAAAGACGCATGTCTCCGGAACTCAAAAGTTGAACCCTGGGTTCGAATCGAACCCAGATTCAACCTGGAGTTTGAAATCTGTGTTCAAACCCTGTGGAGAACCCCATGTTCAACCCCGGGTTCAGTTCGAACTCTGGGTTCGGAAACTCCATGTTCGAACCCGAGGTTTGGGAAACTCTTTGCTGGAACCCCGGGTCCTGGTTGTCCCCCCAGGAAGCTTTATGGGTTTTGCAAAGAACAGACAAAGAAAAAGAAACTAACGAACGCAGGCGTCAACTCACGGAGAGAAAGCGGGGGACGACAACGCTCTAGGAACGACTTGCAGTCCAGCTCTAGAGGCTGCCAGGAGCAGCTTCCCTTCATGCTCCCAGCGTGAAATCACTTAGAAGCTTTTCTGAGAAGCTGGCCACTGTGCAGAAGCTTTTCTAAAGTCCGGTGTTTTTTTTTGGGAACCCAGAGGTCGCTGCTCGAGGTTTTCTTGATATATATGTATGGGGGCACTTATG